GCTTGTCTTTTCTTTTTCACAGGAGACTACCCCTTAGCCATGAAACATTACACTGAGGCCATCAAGAGAAACCCTAATGATGCCAAACTCTTCAGTAACAGAGCTGCCTGCTACACAAAGCTGCTGGAGTTTCAGCTTGCCCTGAAGGTATAGCACATCCTTCCTGAGTAGGAGTTCATGTGAATCTAATGTAATTTATGCATACCTCTGCATTTAAGACTAACCATGAGAATCTTTTATCTTGTCAGGATTGTGAAGAGTGCATCAAACTAGAGCCCACCTTCAGTGAGTAATAACTTTTATATTAGTTACATTTTTGCCTTTTTGCCTGAACTGTATCATCTAGAATTATGTCAGTTTATTGTAATTTTACAAATAGTTTATGACATTTGTTCACAGTAAAGGGCTACACACGTAAAGGAGCTGCTCTGGAGGCCATGAAAGACTATTCCAAAGCTATGGATGCATACCAGAAGGCTCTAGAGCTTGACTCTTCCTCAAAGGTATTTTACAGGATATTATACGCTTCAAAAAATGTGGACTTGAGTAGAAAAGATATCTCAGAAAAGATTTTTTTTTTCTCTATACTTGTGCTACATGTTTGCTGGTTGACACAGTAGTTAGTTGTCCAATCACTTTTGAATCAAAAAGAATTGATTACATTTTTTTAACTAAACAGATTTGTGTGTTGGAAATGTGAAGAGAGCAGACTGATGAATGAAATGTGGTAATGTCAGATATAACTGTATTTCTAATGCGTGAACAGTGAGCGACAAAAGACTGAATTGAATTCTTTCCACTTTCAGGAAGCCTCAGAAGGCATTCAGCGCTGCATGGTAAGTCAGGCCATGAGGAATGACAGCCCTGAGGAAGTGAAGAAAAGGGCCATGGCTGATCCAGAGGTGCAGCAAATTATGTCTGACCCAGCCATGCGTATGATCCTTGAGCAGATGCAGAAGGACCCACAGGCCCTTAGCGAGTAAGTTTGACAGCTTTACCTCCAATGCTGTTTGCATTTTAACTGTATAGTACAGATTTGTAGTAATTTTGTTTGTTTGTTTTTCAGCCACTTAAAGAATCCAGTTATTGCTCAGAAGATACAGAAACTCATCGATGTTGGACTGATAGCCATTCGTTAATGGGAGACATGAGCCACAGCTGTTAAACCCTCCAAAATGAAACTTCTTTTACTTATTCTTTCTTTCTTTTTCTTTTTTTTTTCCTCTTTCTTTTTCTTTGCCTTCAAATCCAACATATTATTTTCCTGTTCTCACTAAGACTGTATGTGTTTGGTTTATTTTTTTTTTTATATATTTTTTTTTTATAAAGTTTCACAAGTTTAAAATTGTTTTGATCAAAGCAAGTTTCATCTGGAAAGCTTCAGACTCCAGATAACTTTAAGAAAAGAAATCGGATTCATGTGTACGGGTGTTTTTAATACATCTAAAAAATAATAATAATAAAACGATGCAGTACACCGTCATGTTCAGTGTTTAAAGGGCAAATCCATCCTCAGGCTTTTCTCATTTTCCTAGTGGTTCATGATTTAAAGACAGCAGAAAAGAGAAGAGTAAAAATCACTCCAAATAATGATTATAATGTGCAGCACATCTCAAATTGAAGTTGTCCCTGACCTTTGTATTGTCAACTTTAAGGTTTAATTAAATACGGTGCTTTTATGTTGAAACGCCAAATTCGCATTCCTTGGCGCTTCCTCTTCTGGTCATTTCCTACACCTCAAGTGCAAAGTTTAATCCAATCCCTTTTAACACCTAAATGCACGTGTGAGACTCTTAAAAACATATTAAACGTTATTATGATTTGGACGCGTATCATCTACAGCTGTCTCTAAGCAACAGCACAATTTAGTCATTAGATTGGAACAGATGGTGATTAAGTGTAAATGGATTTTAAAGATGGTCTGAATGTGATAGTTAAAGGGTGGATTTACCTTTCAGTGCTAGCACATGCTGGATGAGTGTGTTGACTTGTGCGTTAACTTAGATTAACCCCATTGCACCCTGTCACAACTTGCTAATGTGCATCACACCCAGCAAAGTCGTTTTGTTTTATCTTTGCACATACTGCTGTTACATGTCCTCTCTGTGACAGCTCAGCTTTTTTTTTTTTCTTTTTTTCTTTTCAGAGGAAAGACAAGTTATACTTCTAACTAACATTCTGCCACAATTTTGCCAATTTGTGGCTTCAGATACCTCAAAGTTACAACATTGTCATAGTATCTTTGTGCTACGGTTTCCAAGAGGGACTCAAATATTCTATTGTAATGCCTTTTGTTTCCACACATACACAGTAGAATAATAAAATGTAGTTATTTGTGCAGCACAGCAACGAAATAGGGCATTTCTATCATTCAAGTCCCCATTGTAATCATAAAGTACACACATCTCACATGATGTAAACAGAATTGTCCATGGAAGTGTAATGTACTAATGGAAACCAGTTGTACTGTGAAATATACAGTATCTGAATGTATCTTGAAAGGAAGTGGTGGCTTTTTTTCATGACGCTGAGTCGGCAGATGGGTAGACCTACAGTTTCAATACCTTGCACTACTTGCATACCAGTGATAGATAAAATGACTGATCTAGACCCCTGTGAATTTAGGTATAAAATAAGATTTAAACGTACAGAGACATAGGCATTAGTAGCATGCTGGAAAATGTTTTATTTTTTTTTCTAAAGGAAGACTAAGTGTGGCAGAACAAATGAAAAGCATAAACATTAGTAGATTTTTTTTTTTTTAATTAATGGAGAGAAAACATTTGACATTTGTTGTAACTACTGGGCAAAACTTCAGCTAGTGTTTGTGGCACAGAATTGCCAGATTTCGTTGAGCTCTTGAGCAATCTCGCTCCGCCCACTCCAGTAGTTCACGTGACTGACCGTCGCCCAGGTTGTGTCGGAAGCATCCTGGTGTTAGCAGTTTGCTAGGCGCTGACAAAAATTATAAAGTGAGATGTAAAAATTTTCATAATGGACGAATATATTAGTTGGTGACTACTGGTGACAAAGAAGACAAAGAACTACCCAAACTGGCCTTTTCCAACATGGTCAGTTCGCTGGTAGTTGAAGAGGCCAGTTAACACTGCTAACAAAACACCAGCGGTTAGCTAACGTTCAAACTTTGACGGACAAATGCAGTCATTTGCTAGTTAGCTGCTACCGCTACCCTGCCAATTTACTACCACACCAGCTGGCTAGGTAACACGTCTTGTTATTATACGGTAGTTAGCGTTGAAGCTGTTTACACACCGACTATAACGCGTTGTTTCGACCAGTCGCTTATATAACCGAAGGTTTAACGTTATTACCAATTAACGTCAGCTAACTTATGAATAATGACTAGTTATTTAGCTAATGCTAACATTAGCAACTTAAACTGTTAGTTAAATTTCAACTGCAGATAACACTTACAGTTACTCAGACTACGTAATTAATACCGACGATCATTGACACAGTAACGGGAAAAAAAACAACATCTTCTAAGTAGCAGGAATCTGAATCTTCTTTCTGATTGATTTCGACCAATCACATGAGATAAATAATGCCAAACACCAGGATGCCAAACGAGTGGGGATTAAGGTTTGGGCAACAGCATTGTCTGGAATACAGCTGTCCGCTCATTTTGATAATCCTTGTCTCCTTCACAATGCAGCCACAGTAGATTGTTTTAACTGCTGAGTGTAAAACGCAAAATCTCGTAAATAAGAAAACACCAGACAAACCAATTTCATCGCAAAGTCTGTAGTCCACTTTTCTTTAAAATATGTCTGGGGACGCATCTGATAGTAGTGAAGACTCTGATGGAAAAACAAATGAAAGGGCCTGTACTGTCAAGCACCAAATCACCAATGGTAAGTCAGTCATATTGTCTGTTATCACTGTATGTAATCATAATCATAACCATAGCCACAAAGGAAACATCTGTGTACTGTAATTCATCTCATCATTTAAATAACACCGCACGAATGCAGTTTGTTCCTTTTTTGATGTGCTGGTTCAACCCCACAGCTAACATCACCACATCAGTTTTTTTTTTCTGTAAAACGTTTATCCGATTTTAAAATACTTTTCCTTTTCCATATATATGTGTATATATATGTGGGCTGTACAATATATTCACACACTGGAGTTCCATTATATTAAAGTTATAAAGCAGCGAAATATAATGTAACCAAAAATGTTTCTCTAAACATACTCCATTTAAATGAAAAAAAAAAATCAGTTTTCTTTGATATTACTTTGTTACATTTCTTTCAGATTTTTCTTTGATTTGTGTAACATTGCTTTGTGATCTGGTTTAGCTATTTGCTAAGCTTTTGTGTGAATGTGTGTTTGTTTTGAGGCTGAGGGGCATGTGAAAAGTCTATAGTGTACAGAAACAATAAAATCATCTTAGACTTTAATAAACTTAAAATAGATTGTTTGGGGGGCATTAGAAATTAACGGGCCAAAATTTTTCAAGATTGTAAGATTGTAAGATTCAAGATTATCAATATTTTTGCTTTAATATGAAAAATATTTTTTGTTCTGTAAAGACTGTCGTGTTACTTGCTTTTAATCAATCTAGGTCACCTAGCTTGCATTAGAGACTAAAGAACAGAATTTGTCATAAGTTTTTAATGGACAATGCACCTGTCATTGAATTGATTTTAGAGTGTAAATTTACAAAGAAAAATCCTCACAGATAAAATCTAATAAATCAGAGAATTGCTGTTGTACTCTCCCTCCAAGAGTAGTAAAGTCAAGCTGTAAATGTGGCTGTAGTGTAATAAACAGTGTGAGTGGATGTTTTTCACCAGCTGTCACAGGTGAAGTGAAGTGATCTGCTTAGTGGCTCACTGGATAGATTGTAGATTTTAAGTAGAGCAACCTTTTAATCTATAGAGAGGGTACATCAAAGTGCATTCATGGATTATAACACAAGAAAAGGCACATTGGTAAAGCATTTGCTAATATCAAGACATATGGTATGTCTTTTTGTATTTTAATATACTTGGGAAAAACCAGCCAGAAAAGTACACCACTTTATTTGTGTAGAAAGCTTCCCTTAAAAGATAGAGCTCAGTGTGGCTTGTCTTTTTTAAAACAAAAACTTGAACAGAAATAGAAATGTAAACACTGTTCTTGTCTTTTGTCTTTTATTTTTCTTTCTACCACTAGCTAACTTCACAGGTCACACTGAAAGAGTCGGCATGGAGAACTTTGAGCTGCTGAAGGTCTTGGGCACTGGAGGTAAGGATCTGCATGTAGCACTGAATAGAATGAAATGAAGATGAAGCTGTTGTCAAAGGTCAAGTACTGGTATGAGATATACTTAAAGCAGACTTGGTTGATTCCCCTGGCTTGGATAGTATTTTGAAGGCAAAGTGTTTATAATTGATATTTGTAGCTTGTAAGTTAAAATGTTTCATGTCATTTATATCCTCATTTAAATGTTACAGCATGAAAAATATCTGATGATTAACAGGGAATCCATATGCTGTTGATGTTACTGATTAGCTACAGGAGATCCTGATGGCTATTTCCATCAACAAATGAACACCTAATTAAATTTAATGAGTGAGAATGATTCAGATTTCTGCAGATTTGATTAATCTTGCCGCCTGTTCACCGAGTATTTATGTCTTGAAGTGGAAACCATCTCTTTTAGGCACAATCCGATGGTGTATCTGTGTTTGCTGTGTTTGCTTGTTTACCATCAGTAGTAATTTTCAATATTTGTTTGTCTAGCTTACGGGAAAGTGTTTTTGGTCAGGAAGAACAGCGGCCATGATGTGAGCCAGCTCTATGCTATGAAGGTAATTTTATTAGTGTTGTAATTCAATGAATGTACATTTTAAAGCAGGTTTTTTAGCTAAAAATGTAAATTACTAGTCTGTGCTTTAAAATAAGTCATTAATTATGATTTTATTAACATTTTATAACCATTTTGTGTAAAATGTAAATGAGTTGGCTAATTATCTAAAGCCAATATTAGATTAAACATGGTACAGTGACAGCACATCAGATGTTAAAACCAAGAAATGATCTTTTTTTTTTTTCCATTTTATTTTCTGGTTTTGGATTTGATGCAAGCCGTTGGGTTGTATAATGTCCTTCTCTTGGACATGATTGCAGCATGTTGCAACATACCCCAAAGCGAAGTGTCATTCACTGAAAGTTCACGGAAGGAATGGAGAAGTTTAATTTATTTTGGTCACTGCCCTAGGTGTTAAAGAAAGCAGCTATTGTTCAGAAGGCAAAGACAACAGAACATACTCGCACTGAGAGACAAGTCCTGGAGCACATCCGCCAGTCTCCCTTCCTGGTTACTCTTCACTATGCCTTTCAGACTCAGAGCAAACTACATCTCATCCTGGGTGAGGCACCGGGGTGGGACACTGGGAAAAATGTACCAAATATAGAGAACTCTTCTCTCTTGAAACACTGAAGGTCTTCTTTATGTTTCTGTCTTATACTGTATGTGTTTTTGTTGGCATTTCTTTTTTGGACAATGTGTGTTTGTGTAGTTCTTTGTATTATGTCTATTCAAGCTCCCTGTGTATTTGTCTGTGTGTGTGAGTACAGACTATGTGAGCGGTGGGGAGATGTTCACTCATTTGTACCAGCGGGATCACTTTCCAGAAGAGGCAGTACGGATTTATATTGGAGAAATAATTCTGGCTCTAGAACACTTGCACAAGGTGAGGATTATTGTTTCCAGTTTTTACACATGCTAGAGTTATTTCTTTAATTTTGGCTAGAGCCTGCTGCTTACACAAACTAAGCATTTTAGCGATATGATACTTTTCATAGAATTGGGGTTGTGAGGCCAGAGACGCAACCCCAACTTACTCCTATTTTAAGCTCTAGGTTGTGGTCTTTTAGCTCTGGTTTCATCAAAACAAGCTGATGGTTAAAGAAGTAAGCCTTTCATCTGTTAAGCATTTAACTTTATTCACCAGATTAATGTTACGTTAGCTCCATAAACACTAGGTTGCGTTCACATTGTTGTATACAGATTGATAAAGTCAGCAGTATTGTGTTTCTGTGTATACATGACACATGCTGCTTTCTCTGCTCAGATAATACTGCTTTTAAAGTGAATGACATCAGTAAATTTTCATTGTGTAAACGGTCTGTTGAAGCCAGCAATATTATGCACCCCATGTCTGAAAAGAGCTTTTGTCATTTAGTGTTGAACAGGAAGTCTGAGTTTCTTTATTGTGAGAAATATTCTGAAGCTCATGGAAGTGGTTTCCTAATGATGTTTCACAGCTACTTTAGTTTTAGATTTAGCTTTAAAGTAGGTGTGCACCAGTGGCCTTAAATGATACTCATGACTTCTTTGAGTAGTTACACAAACCACTACATGGAGGGTGCTTGGGTGCATTTTCAAGGTCCTTTTTAAAACATAACGAGTGTGTTCTTGAGGGTTTTATTTGGAAGCATTTCAGCCATCTCTTTGTAAATTATGACCTTCACTAGGT